CTCCAGCCCTTGCGCGCCACCCCGCATCTCCATGGTGCCGGGGTGCCCGGCCTCGGGGCCCGCGGGGGAGTCCGGTTTTCTAGAGCAGAAGTGCAGAAGTGGAAGGGCGTCTGCACGCGCAATTAACTTTCTAGCGGCCACAGAAAGGTAAAACTGAGCCGGACTGCAAGGCTGAGATCAGCCTGGGCAATTTAATAGAGTCGGCGAAACAGTCTCAAAATAAAAGTGGGCTGGGGATGGAGCTCAGGACAGAGGCCTGGGGTTCCACGCGGAGCACCAGCCTAACGCGCACACACAACCGGCAGGCAAATTCGGGATACCCGGCTGGGGCGGTGCTGGAGGAGCCGTGTCCCGGTTCCTGGTCCGCGGAGACGTGAAAGGAGTAGCCCAAGGTACCAGTTCATTCAAGGAGGGTCAAACACAGCAACGGAGGAAGCGGTCCCCGCCTCGGCCACCAGGGGGCGCGCGGGCCTCGCGCCGGCGGGCAGGGAGCGACAGGCGGCTCTTCCTCGCGGAGCCCACCGAAAGGGCGCGAGCGCGCTCACCGCCCCCAGCCCGGGTCCGCGCTGAGCGTTCGGTGGGGAGGACGTGGTGACTGCCCGGACGGGGCGCGAGCGGGAGTCGGGGCGGCGGCAGCCCGCTTGCGCTGGGAGGCGGGCCAGGAAGGACCCCACGGTGAGGAGGCGGGCTGGGCCGAGCGCAGAGCCGGGGCTGCGCGGGAAGCCGAGAGTGGGCCCTGGGCAGGGCTCTGTGCGGGACCGCGGCCCTAAGCTCAGGGGCCCCTTCTCGCTCGCTCTCCCCATCTCGTCCCCCTCCTGTTCTTGTTTGAAACAGAGTCTCACTTTTGTAGCCCATGGTGACCTCGAACTTGCAGTGATCCTCCCGCCTCAGCCTCCCAAGTGCTGGGATGGCAGGCGTGCACCTCCACTCCTGGCTCCCTTTGCTCCTCTTTTGCCCTGCGCCCCGGGCCCTGGGGAAAGCAAAAGCAATGGCAGAGGGTTCCGGTCGCCGATTACCGCGGGAGTGGGCAGAATGGGTACGGGCTGTCGCTGTAGCCTGGCGACACGAGAGACCTTGAGCCGCAGCAGCGCCAGCGCAGCTTCCCCACCCCTGACACGGCGGATCGGGAGTTGGTGGTTTGAAGCCTCGGAAGTTTGCAGGGGCAGCTGAGTCTGCAGTGGGCACCGGGCCTTAGGGACTGTGGAAGCGCAGTGTGTGCTCCATAGTGCTCATCTCTAGGCTTATTTTATAGAAGATGGAAAACAGTTCTATCACACTTAAACCACTACCTCAAATGTTTTGTTTTGTTTTCCATTTATTACAACTGAACCTGACCTTAATGGTTTGATAACAAAGACTGGAAAGGACCGGGAATGGAGATCAGTGGCAGAGGTCTTGCGTGATTAAGTTCCCCCGCCCCCGCTTCCTCTCTCTCTCTGCCACTAGCTTTGACTTCCATTTGCCAGGTCACCTTGTGGTCCAAGATAGCTGCTAAAGTTCCACAAATCATATCTCAAGTTCCAGATAGCAGGAAGAAGGAAAAATGAAAAAGAATACAAGGCACTCAGCTCCCAGCTAACAACTCCTTAATAAAGAGTCTTTTTGGAAGCCTCCTTCACACTTCTTACATCCCCTAAGCCACACAGCCACATGGCCACCCAGCTTCCTCTGAGTTGGGAGATGGACTTCTTCAGCGGGGCACATTGTCCCCTTCATAAGTTGGGCTTCTACCATCGCAGCATGTGGGCTTTTTCGTTTCTGAATCTGTTAGAAGAAGTCAGCCTTTAAAAAAAAAAAAAGTAGAAATCACAGAAGGCTGAGGCAGGAGGAGCAATATGAGTTTAAGGCCAGCCTGGGCTCCATAGTGAGACACTGTCTCAAAAAAGGTGCACATGATGTAATGTTCAAACACTACGTTAGTAAGAACTGAACACTGACCCTCTGGGTGAAATGGTGTGCTACCCGGATTTGTCACAGAATGACCTCGTGGTGGGAGGGGCTGTACAAAATGGTGGGGTGACAGTTGCTGAAGTGAGTGACAGATACATGGAACTCTATAGCATTCTCTCTGCTTCTGGATACCAGCTTATCCATTTTCTTAACACTTGTTCTTTTTGGGGGGTGAGCTAGGTACTGGGTTCTGAATCCAGGGCCTTTTTGCACTGAGCATCATCCCCAGCCCTTTTTGTATTTTTTATTTTGAGACAGAGTCTCGCTAAGTCACTTAAATTGCCAGGGCTGACCTCAGACTTACAGTCCTCCTGCCTCAGCCTCCCTGAGTGCTGGGATACAGGTTGCTGGGATTATGGGTGGGTACCACCATGTCTGGCTTCAAATTCATTTTAATTTACTTGAGCAGAGAGTGCCAGCAACACCCAGGCTCCAGGAAGTCCCCAAGGAAAGCAGGAAGAAGGAGGCTGGTCAGGTGTCTGCCTGAGGAGGGCCCCTACAGACTTGATAAACCCAAGGCAGGAGGGGAAACCCTGTCCACGACGGCCCTGGCAAAGAAACCAGTTGCTTGGGATAAAAAGCCAGACCAGGAAAGCCAGGTGTGGTGTCACACACCTATAATCCCAGCACTCGGGAGGCTGAGGCAGAAGGATCACTGTGAGTTCAAGGCCAGCCTGGACCACATAGTGAGTTCAAAGCCAGCTTGAACCACACACTCTGCCTTTAAAAAAAAAAAAAAAGAATTGAACCAGGAAATCTCCCTGCCAATAATGACAGTCACAACAGCAGCAGACACTGAGCTAAGGGCTTCACTGACAGAGGCAGCTGTGTGACTGCACCCACAGGGCACCTGTCACTCCTGCTCAGC